CCGACTCAGGCTTCCTCTCTCAACTCTTGGCCCCACGTGAGCCTGGCCTGTGCCCTGCTAGATCAAAGGTGACAACGCTCTTTAGTTCAAAGGCTGTCAGCTTTCTTGCTCCTTATGTCCACCCAAAAGAAAAACAACTCGCTGCCAGGGAGGCAACCCTGCTCACAGCGACCCTGTAGGACAGGCCCAGAACTGCCCCATGGGCTTTCGAGACTAGCTCTTGACAGGAGTGGAAAGCCTCATCTTTCTCCCATGGTTTCAAACTGCTAACCCCAGAGTTCAGCGGCCCGCTTCGTAACCCACTGCACCACCACTAGGTGCCACTTCTGCTTCTCGCCCCCTCCCAGCCTCCAGTGCTACAGCTCCCTCTCCCCCACCCCCTCATCTGACCAGGACCCTGGGTCCAAATAATGCACTCCCTTCCCAATTCTTCTTTCTGCACTCTCGTGAGCTCCCCCTTTCCTGCATCTGGGAGGGCTCCTTCTGAGCCTTGAGGGATGGCAACATTGAACTTTGTTAGGGTTCCATACACTTTTTTTTTCATGGTCCCTCCCCCACATGGGTGTCACGCACCTCATTTGCATTATCAGCCAGCTGCGCAATTCTGTCCATGAATGAGCCATAGGCCCCTTATTTGCATAACCCCACCCACTCACTCTGTAGGCGTCACAAAACCATGCATCGCTAAACAGGCCGTGTTAAGTCCCTGTTCCCTTCACCTTGAGCCCAGCCAGTCCAGCTGGCAGCAGCTGGGAGAGGAGAATGAAGCTAAGGGCTTGCCACCCACTTTTGCATTTGTTCCCAGTCCTGACACCTCTCCAGGCACAGCGTGTTCCATCCAGGTGGCCCCAATAGTGGCCACTTGCCCTGAGTCTCCTGCCGGCCCCGTCCGTGACTGCACTCAGTCCTCCCCTGGGCCTGGCCAATCTGGTTGCCTTCTCAGGGTTCGTGGACTAGTCCAGCCTGTCCCAGTCAGCCAGCCTGGCCTCAGCCTGAGCGTGATGCAGCTGCCTGAGAACTGGCCCGTGCCAGGCACACACTCACGTGATCTCACTTAATGCATGCAACAACTGGGCCACGATGATCTTCTCAGCCCCATTGGAACACGAAAATGCTGAGCCTCCCAAGCACTGACTAGCACGGGCACAAGGAACTCAGCCCACTCCACCTGGCCCTGGTGCTGTGCCCTTTCCATCCTGGGGCATAGGCTTCCTCCTGGAGGGGCAATGTGTACTTGGGAACAAAGCAGGAGGCACGGCCGTTTGTCCCCCAGAGAGGACAAAAGGCCTACAAAGGTGACCAGAATCATTGGGTACAAAATCACAACCCCAACCCCCTCCTGGGGGGATGGACAACAGAAACGTGGGTGAAGGGAGACATCAGTCAGTGTAAGACATGAAAAAATAATAATTTATAAAGTATCAAGGGTTCATGAAGGAGGGAGGGGCAAAAATGAGAAGTTGCTACCAAGGGCTCAAGCAGAAAGAAAATGTTTTGAAAATGATGATGGCAACAACTGGACAAATGTGCTTGGCACCACGGATGGATGGATGGATTGTGGTAAAAGTTATACGAGCCCCCAATAAAATGATTTTTTAAAATCATAATTCCTTCTCCAGCACCTTTATATTTGTTCTGCACAGACCCGGAGGAAAGCTGATGTCAGCCATATCTAAGTGAGGTCAGCCATCCACAAAATATCACCATGTTTGTGCTTTCTCCTTAAAGTCAGACTCTCCAATCCAGCCGCCTGGCCACCTCTCTAGATGAGCTCCCCTCCCATCTAGCTCAGTGGCCCCCAGCCACTGAAACAGGCCAGAAGCTCGGTGAGGGCTCCCCTTCATCCTCCGCTGGGCCCAGTGGCTGTGCTGGGCAGGAGGGTATCCGATTCACAATCAACACAAAGAACGAGACCAAGGCCAGTCTGATGCAAACTCCTGCCGAGAATCCCCATTTCGGAGCCACCCTGTGCCTCCAGGCCTCTAATCGGGAATGTGTGCTCGAGTCCACCCCTGCTTCTGGTGGCCATGTTTAAGTCCATGGAAACTGCGTGGCTTCCATGATTCGTGTTGATGTAAAGGTGTCCGACTAGGAGCACTTCCGGGCTTGGACACAGTTGTCTGGGAGAACATGTGAGCTCTTCTCTCCCAAGCCTTTTGAACAAGAAGAGACTCATCCATCCCAACTGAACTCATGGAAGGCCTGCCCAGAGAGGGGGCTCGGTGATCCCAAGAGGCCTGGCCACCGTGAATGCCATGCTCCTGAGTCCGTCTCATCCAGGGTGTCCTCTGGAGGGCAGCAGACAGGAGCTGACTTCATCTGTAACCAGAGGTGGAACCTCTGGGGACTGGGCAAAGGTGG